TCAATGGAAATGGGAGAAGGTAATAATGGATTTTGTAACGGGGTTACTTTTGACTCCGAATAAAAGAGATTCCATCTGGATGATTGTAGACAGATTGACTAAGTCAGCTCATTTTATTCCGGTACGAATTGATTTTTCCATGGATAAGTATATCGAGCTGTATATTAGGGAGATTATACATCTACATGGTGTCCCTGTTTCTATTATCTCGGATCGAGATCCTAGGTTTACTTCACAGTTTTGGAAATCATTACATAGAGCGTTGGGAACTCGGTTGAACTTTAGTACAACGTTTTATCCTCAAACCGATGGGCAATCCGAGTGAACAATCCAAATTTTGGAGGATATGTTGAGAGCTTGTGTTATTGAATTCAAAGGATCATGGGAGAGGTACTTACCACTTGCCGAGTTTACATATAACAACAGTTATCAATCAAGTATTAAAATGGCACCTTATGAAGCTCTTTACGGAAGAAGATATCGTACGCCCCTAAATTGGGTCGAACTTAAAGATAAAGAAATTCTTGGTCCCGAGTTGATCTAGTAAGTAGAAGAAAAGGTACAAGTAATTCAAAGTAATCTCAAAGCAGCAGCTGATAGACAGAAATCATACGCAGATTTAAAGAGAAAAGGGATAGAATATCAAATTGGAGATAAAGTATTTCTCAAAGTTCCTCCTTGGAAGAAGGTGTTGAGGTTTGGTCGAAGAGGAAAGCTAAGTCCTTGGTTCATTGGACCTTATGAGATCGTAAAGAGAGTTGGACCAGTGGCATATCAACTGGCGTTGCCACTTGAAATGGAGAAGATTCACAATGTCTTTCATGTCTCAATGCTTCGGAAGTATCGATCTGATCCTTCCCACATTGTGACTTCAGAAGAGGTTGAGGTTCAACCGAATTTGACTTATGAAGAGGAATCGGTTAAAATCTTAGCTCACAAGATTAAGCAACTAAGAAATAAGACTATTCTTTCAGTTAAAGTCTTGTGGAGGAATCACAAGATAGAGGAAGCAACGTGGGAACGTGAAGATGACATGATGATTCAGTACCCCCATCTCTTCGTGTAATGAAAATTCGAGGACGAATTTTCTTAAAGGGGGAGATTTGTAACAACCTCAATACCGGGTTAGTGACTAAATTGTAAAACTTTAAAATTTGGTGACTAAAGCAGAATAATTGAATAATATTATAATTTGGTATAGGGTTAAATTGCAAGGAATATGGAATTGAAGGATAGAATGGTCATTTGCAAGGGAAAATAATTAAGATTTCTTATATTTATATCAGCTCCACGTGGAAGAGAAAGAAGAAAAACACAAGGGTTCTAGACTTCTCTTCTCCTCATTTCTTCTCTGTGAGTGTGAGCTGAGGTAAAGATAAGAATTTTTATTAGTTGTTTATTAGCTGAGATTTAAGTTTGGTTTTGATCCTTAGATGCTAATTAAGCTTAAGGAAAGCTTAATTTGCTTTAAAACAACAAGATGAAAGGGGTAGGAAGAATTAAAGATTATGAGTTCTTGAATGAAATTTCGAAATAAAGTTCATACTGAGAATTGGAAGTTGAATTTGACTTGTCATCGACTTAATTAAGATATACGAAGTGTTAGAATTAGATTTAGAACATGTTGGAATTTGAGTGAGATTCTTGAATTCCATGTGGATGAATGAATTTTTAAGTTTAAGAGGTATTGAATGGGTATTAATTAGTTTAAATAGGTGTATAAGAGTTAAGAATATAAAAAGAGGTGAAATATGAAGAGTTGAGAGGATTATGAAGGGATTTTCGTGATCAAAGTATCATTTCTAGGCTGTGTGCATCAATACACATTCAATGTGTACCGATGCACTCTCAAATAAATGAACATCGAATGCAATTAGTACATCGATGAATAAAGAGTGCATTGATGCACCCCCTTAAAATACAAACATCGAATAGGATTTGTGTACCGATGCATAGCTAGTGCATCGATACACACGTTAAGGAATGCATCAATACACTGTAGAGTGCATCGATTCATATCTTCATTAAAAGATAAAAATAACCTTCTTTTAGCCTAAGGAGTGATAGTTTAGAATATATCAATTAGTATATTGTTATGTATCCATGTATTACTATGTAGATATAGAACGTAATCTTGTTCCGGAACAAGCGAAGGATTAGAATCGAGTCAAAGTAAGCAAGGCTAAGGTGAGTGCCTATCCTAGATAGAATTGTATTGAGATAAGACTTGTGATAAGTTTATCTCTTATAATTGAATTTATGATTCCATATTCATGCACATACATACCAATATATATGTATTAATGTTATAGTGATTCCATGTATAATTCATTCATTATTTAACATGATATTATATGAATGAATGCCATCATCAGAGAATCCTTCCAAGTATGTGAAATAATGGAAATAATCATATGAAGTGACTTATGTGTTTACATGGACAGTGATGAAAGAGATATGAAATGAGAAATGTATTTATAATATAGCCCATGTTATTTAATATGAAAGTTGTAGGTATAATTGACATGCCAAAAGTCGAGGGATTATCAGTGGTCCTTCTGGACATAGTGGTCCTTCGGGACATATCAGCGGTCCTTCGGGACATAGTGGTCCTTCGGGACAAATATTCAGTGCCCCTAGTGGGATTTTATTCGAGCTGTGGTGACAGCATTGCACACAACCTCAGTGTACTCGCATACCTTCTGTTCTCAATAATATACATAGGCATCCAAAGATAAACTAAAGGAAATTCTTATGAAACATAATTGTTTATTCATGCATATCCTACTCATATGTCATAGTGTGGTATTTACATGTGCATCGCAATGTCTTAGTGGATTGATAGTAATGTATGTTAGTGATATTATTGTCGTATGTTTATTTTATGTCTCACTAAGTCTGTGACTAAGCGTGTAAGTGATTTACACGTATGTACCAAGTATCGGGAAGAACATAAATAGGGTGGCAAGAACAGTAGCACTGCTAGAAGATCAGATCAGAAGTAACTGATAAAGTATGTATTTTATTGTGTATAGTGTGTTGGCATGTAAGAAAGGTGTCAGTTATGAATGCTCTGATCGATTTTGGTTATTTTGGTCAATTTATGTAAATAAACCACTTTTATTTTAATGAAAGTTTTAAATTTTCTTTGAATTTTGTCAAGAGTAAAAGTTTGAAAAGTCAATGTGACACCTCAGACTCGTATTCGGGTCGGGTACGGGTTGGGGGTGTTTCAATATGTGACCCGTGAACCCAGTTGTGACCCGCTAGTCAACCCGACCCGAGCTAGAGGATTCGCGTGTTTTGGTAAAATGGGGGTAATCTCAGTTTCAGTCCCCATTGTTTTTTAAACCATGTATTTTGATCCCAAAAATCGATTTTAAAATCGAATTTCCTTTTAAATTCACCCTCCAGTTTTCTTTTCTTTCAATTTAGTTCCTTTTTTAAGTCAATTCATTTTTTGTTTTATTTTTATTTAGATACTATACTATATATATATATATTTCCCCTCCTTTATTTATTTTATTTATTTTAATGTTAATATATATATTATTTTTATTTTTATCTTTATTTTTTATTTTTGTTTGTTTCTGTTTTTTTCTAACATTTTTATGTATATATTTTTATTTCTTTTAGTTTATTTATTAAATACCAAATTTATATATATGTTGTATTTTTATCTTTTTTTTTTATATTTTCTTTGTTTTTGTGTAGGTTTTCTTTTATTCTTTTTAATTTCAGTATTTTATTTTTATTTGTTTTTCTTTCCTTTATTTTTATTTTATTTGGTTTTGTTTATTTTGTTTATTCTATTTGTTTATTTATTTTTTTTATTTTTAGTTTGTTTTATTTATTATTTTGCTTTATGGAGATTAGTCTATTATTGTTTTATCTCTTTTAGATTTATGTTTTTATATAGACATTTTTTTATTGTTTTAATATGAGTACTTTATTTTTGTTTCTTTTAGTCCATTAGCATGCGTTTTTATCTTAATTCGATTCTACACTTTACATATAACATTTTTTTATTTTTCTAAAGGTACATGTTTTAAAAAAAAAAAACCCCATTGAAGGTAAGTAATTTGGATCAATTTTTCCCTTTTAGTTTACAATTTCCTTAATTTAAAACAACTGGAAATTAAGTAGACCAAAATGACAGTTCAAGGGCGCTAACCCTTCCTTGACTGTAACCGACTCCCGAATCCGACATTTCGCTGGTAAGATGCAGATCGGGTAAGAAATCAAGGTATCGGATCAACCCATTTGTTCTTAAAATAAATGATCGGTAGCGACTCTAACTCATTCATTCAAGTCCAATTCCGGGCCCACCCGAAAGACGGTTTCGACAGCTCATAAGCAAAGATGGATCGAGGAGAGAGCGGGTATGGAAAATCACACCTTAAAAAATTTAAATTTTATAAATTTTAAATATATATTTTTTAAATTCTTATAAATTTTAAATATATATTTTTATATTTTTGAATGAAAATCTTTTCGCTCCCTAAAATTTCATAATTTCGTCGTTTCTTAGATAAATTTAAATTCTTATAAGCATCTTTAGCTCTGCAATCTTTTGATTTAATTGATCTAACTTCATTTTGGTATCATAGAAGTTATAATCTTTCTCCTCCAATATAAATCGAAGAGAAACTCATCCAGATTTAAAATTATATTTTATATTAAATGTGAGTTAAAGGATCGATCAAAACATGACCATCATAGTCAAAGGGAACACAATCATCTTTTCTAACCGCCACATCAAATTGTTGTGACCCAATTAATGGAAGTTAACGGCTTAGTGACCGTTTTGTTGCTTCTTCAAAAATATTAATGATTAGTTTACAACTTTTCAAACTTTAGTGGTGAAAGAATAAATTTAATCAAACTTCAATGAATATTTTTGTAGTTTGCCCTCAAAAAAGGTTCGATTGACATAGTCATAGACACTAACAGGTCGTGTATTAAAAAAGTCGTTCTATCAACTTTGGTCCGAACCTCCACCACCCGATCTTCCTTATCTCCATTTTCTTTTTCTTTTGCTTTATTTTCAACCCAACAAATATACAACATTAAGTAATTTCTGTAGTTGCGAACAATCTCTTTTAGGAGTTCTCGAACGGAATGGGAAAAACATTCTTCAGGAATTCTTGAAGCCGATCTATTTCTTGGAATTGGGGACTCTTCATCGAGGTTAAGATTTCAAAATCATTTTATAGACTTTAGGGTTTTGTTGCTTGAATTCCCTCGAAAATTTTACCTGTGATTTTGTTTTTACTTTCAGGAACGAAAATTTTATTTTATTCTTAAATATCACCAGTAATTAACATTGTATATATTTTTTTATTGCTCTGGAAAAAAATTAGAAAGATATTTGGATACCTAATAATGAAAGCAAGCATAAAAGCAAATTATTTCTATTTAAAACATAATTCTACCGTGGCCTTTTGGTTCATAGTTGTCTTTTTCTTTTTCTGTATTTTTTTTCCAATTAGAGATCATATACGATAAATTATACTTAAGGATGGGAAAGTGTCAAAAATATTCAGCTATAAGAGTTTCAGTTTCAGTTGCTTTTGGTTAGAGAGCTGAAAGTTTTGATAATGCTGAGGCTAGGTAGTGTATTCTTTACTGGATAGCAATTACTTGAATTTTAGAATGGCTTGCCAGTGTTATGCTCTGGCCTAGTGGTGAAAGCTGAGAGAAAGATAATGGAATCTTAAACGTCCTTCCCTTGCCAAGGAAGGTTACCTTGTACTAGTCAATCAACCAAATTGATGTTCGGTTGTAAAGATTTGGTTATGGTGTAAACGAACATGTTCAACTTCAATCATGGTTGTACTGTGTCCCCGAGTGTGTAATAACTTGCCTTTTCATTTTGTTAGAACCAAATTGAGGCCGCAAATGATGTACACCATCACACTTGTATTGCACGTTGCATCTTTACAAGAAATGCCCTTCTTTTATGTATACATTTATTCTTTTTGGTTTCCGTGGGAAAAAGGGATATTTTTAACAAAAAACTTTGTTTTCCCGAGCTTCATACCAGTAGTAGAAACTTAAGATGGGGAGGGAAGTATTACTGAAACGAACTTTGTCCAATGTTTTTCTTATTTTGGAGAATAAAAATTGATAGTGACAAGGAAAATTTGGATTGGACATATTTGTGATCAATGTTTTCTCTTTGGCTCTTTTCAGAATTTCATGGATTCGAATAACTGGAGGCCTACTCCTCCCAGTGGTGAAAACACTATGGATGGTGGTGAATGGAGATCCACATTGCAGCCTGACTCACGTCAAAGAATTGTCAACAAGATGTAAGTGAATTTTACAATATTATTATCTGTTAAATATACTTGTTGTTAAGTTGCCGAGACCCTATGGCTTGTGTGCGGTGAGAAAAATTAGCATCAATAAAACCATGTTTTCTACTCAAAAGGGCTTTGTTTAGTAAATACATCGCTTCAGAATTAAAGCTTTCTCTTACCTATAGCTTGAGGTCTATGTGGCCACATATCTTTAACTTGATGTGTCTAAGCTATTTGGTCCAGGTCTAACTGTATCTTTTATACTTTGTATCACTATATAACTGAATTATGTAATTGAATGAAGACACATTTTTCTTTAAATCTTTGTATCCTTGTAAAATTCGGGTTGGTTAGTTCATTGAAGTGCTATTTTATATGGACTGCAGTTCTTATCTATTTCCACTGTCTGAATTGTGCCCATTTATTAAATAACTTATTGCTTTAACACTAATGACCTTTCCTTTCTACGACATTCACTGAACAATGACAATTATGATATGTGGTCTGTTTGAATGTTGCTGATATATGATGGTTATGATGGCCACTTTATTTATATTGGAAAATGTTTTGTTAAGTTAAAGTGCTATGGATTTAGGATATTTATATGAAGGCTGTCCTGAGTTCGATGGGGAAATTTTTTGTTGGTCATATTATAGGTTTGTTAATTTTGTATTTGATTTTATATTCTTTTACTAACTTGATTGATATCATCCTTAGCATTCATTTATTTACCAATTAAGGATTCCTACATATATCATATTTATTTTTCAATACCTTACACGATGCTTTGTGCACATAGAATGGATACGTTGAAGAGGCACCTTCCATTTTCTGGCCAAGAAGGTTTAAATGAACTCAGGAAAATTGCTGAGAGATTTGAGGAAAAGATTTTTACAGCTGCAAGCAGCCAGGTAATCATAGGATGTCAGCATTCCATTATGTGCTTGGGTGCATTTTTCTTACCAGTATTTAGGTTGATTGCATTACGCCTATGCATTTGTGTTAATTTTTTTCCTGATTCACATGCATTTACATGCATGCACCCAGGCTCCTTGTGATTTGTGTTGGAAGTAAATAAGAAAGAAATCTAGGAGTAAAGAGAGTGGAAAAACTAAAGATGCAAAATGCTAACTCAATATTAAGCACGATTAATTTAAATATTTAAGAATCTTGTATTTGAATAGCAAAGGAACTTGTTTAATGCTGTTATGGATTTCTGTACTCAGTCTGATTATCTAAGGAGAATATCGTTGAAGATGCTTACAATGGAGACCAAGTCTCAGAATACCATGCCCAACACTGGGAATAGTAGCAAACCTCCTGATCCAGGTAATGGGAGGAAAAAGCAATTTGCTTGGATGTACTGTAGTAGTAGGGTACTTTCTGTATACTTGTCCTTCCTGTAATCCTATTCTTTTACATGCAGAGTTGTTTAACATTCAACATGCATTTACATTTGCTGTAGTAGTCTAGTTAGTATTTTAATGAACATTTCCTTTTGTACCTTTGTCCCCTTATTCAATGGTAGCTGCAGTAATATTTAAACTAATGGGGTAAGTTCTGTTTTGGAGAGACGAGAGGTTTATAAGTGATTTGTCTTTTTGTTCCAGTTTTTTTTTATTATATGATTTTTCATATTCTTCAATTCCATTCCTGTGGTTCTTCCCAACTTTTCTGAATTAAAAAAAAAATATTGGGTAGGTTCTCAGGGCATGCAAAACCAAGTTCACAGTCAGGGGCAATCTGTTCCTATACCATTACAAAGTAATCAATCTCAAGCACGTCAACAACTGTTACCCCAGAGTGTTCCAAATAACATGGCATCTGCTGGAGTTCAGAGTTCTGCTGGTTTACAATCTGGAATGCCTCCTGTCTCTGGTCTATCCCAGAATCCTATATCCAGTGTTGTTGGGCAGAATTCCAACATGCAAAACATGTCAGGAATTTCACAGAACTCAATGGGGCAAGGAATGCCTTCCAATATTTTTGCTAATCAGCAGAGGCAAATGCAAGGAAGGCAACAGGTGCTTCCTCAACAGCAGCAGCAGCAGCAGCAGCTATATCACCAGCAGCTACAACAACAACTTATGAAGCAAAAGATTCAACAGGGGAATCTCCAACCCTCGCTCATGCAGTCTCACATGCAGCAACAGCAGCAGCAAAACCTATTACCACCTACTCAGTTGCAATCTTCCCAGCAATCCGGTATGCAACAATCAGCCATGCAATCAACTCCTCTTCCTGGTCTTCAACAGAACCAGCAACAGTCGACACAGTCCATGCTTCAGCAGCATCAACAGTCGGTCCTTAGACAGCAGCAGCAGCCACAACAGACCACCAATTCTGGTATTCATCAACAACAAACTCCAATGACACAGCAGTCAATGATACCTCAGCAGCAACAACAACAGCCTCTGCAACAGCAGCAGCCACAAATGATGAGGCAACAGACAAATGCTGCAAATATACAACAGAACCAGTTAATTGGACAACAAAACACCATTGCAGACATGCAGCAGCAGCGACTACTAGGTCAGTCTAGTAATCTTCCAAACCTGCAGCAACAACAGCAGCAGTTAATGGCTCAACAAAACAACCTTTCAAATATACACCAGCAACAGTTGGGTTCTCAGAGTAATATTTCAGGATTACAGCAACAGCAATCTAATCAGCAATCTTTACACATGCTATCCCAGCATAAGGTTCCACTCCAACAAGCCCAGCAGACTGCACCTAATTTGTTACCAACTCAAGGACAAACATCCCAGCAGCCACAGCAGCAACTGATGTCTCAGATGCAACAACAGTTGGGTTTGCAACAACAGCCCAATCAAGTACAACAAAATATGCAGCAGAGACTTCAAGCATCGGGCCAAACACCAAATTCCTTGCTTCAAGCACAAAACTTGATTGATCAGCAAAAGCAGTTGTATGAGTCACAGAGAGCTGTTCCAGAGACATCATCGAGTATGTTTTTGAATCTTTGCTGTTGCATACTGTTGATCTTTGCTTTGTTTCTTTCTGATAGCGAGTGTTATTTAACTAATCTGTGCGATTTTTTTTATCTTCATATGTTCATGTCCAGAATGTTTAATGGTTTCTTCAAATGCCTTTAAGTTGTACCCATGGTGGGTCTATTAGCTGCATTATGATCCCTGGTTTTCTCCTTCTAAGCTATGTTTACCTTAATTTTCTATGAGAATTGATCGTATTCTACTCAAAAATACCTTTCTTCCATAAGCTATATATTCCATATTCTTTTTCACATGCAACAAAATCATGAATCTTTGTGTATAATAATTTTTCTTTCATTTAAATTATGTTTTCCTTATTCTTCTTGCTCCAAAAACTTTCCATTTTTTCATATGTGCATTGTTTATATTTCTCTTTTTAGCATCTTTAGATTCCACAGCTCAAACAGGACAGGCAAATGGGGGTGATTGGCAAGAAGAGGTCTATCAAAAGGTAAAGATTATCTTGACATATTCTCCTAAGAAGGCTTTGAAGTGTAGTAAAGTTGTGCTGGGAGAGTACTAGAGTATGCTGGGATGTGTTTATGTTGAGACGCATCTTTTTACAGGAAGTCAGGAACTATAGATCAGAAGAATTAGAACTGAAAAGGAAAGTCGGGAAAAGAAAATTCTGACATTTCGTGAGTGACTTATTAGTTTGTTAATAAGAACTTGGTTGTTCTTCAAAGAAAGAAAATAAAACTTACAAAAACCCTTCAGCTCCTTTGAAAGATCCATTAAAATTGGTAAGCAAGAAAACTAAGGTCCAAGTATTTAGAGAGGACTTTCATGCTTGACCACTGCATAAGACCTTGCAAGCTGGATTCCAAAGTAATAATCATTTATTGATACCTTGTTTTCTTTGGTTATCAACTAAAATCAGTGCTGGCTTGTCAGAAAATGGAAAAATCTTTGTACTTTTCTAATAGACATCTAGATGAATTGATTGGTTTAGTTGTTGGCTAACCATTCCTTTACTGATTTTATGTTGCAGATCAAGGCCATGAAAGAGACATACTTACCAGAATTAAATGAGATGCACCAGAAAATTGCTGCCAAGTTGCTACAGGTAGGTTTATCCTTTTACTTAATCAATCTTCAAAGAGTGGTAGAACCCATCTGTACAAACCTCTGCCACCCTGTATCTCTAAATAGACTATAGAGAGGACTTCTCTATTACCCATTAGAAAGATCTTTTGATCACATGCCACTTTCAGATTGCGACTTGAATCCCTTGTCCATGGGTACTGTTTAATCAGTTGCACTTTGCTTATCTGATGTAATATTGGTTTATAATCTTCCTGACATCAGTTAAAACATTTCTATGCATTCTATTTTTCAGCATGATTCTCTTCCACAGCAGCTAAAGTCCGAGCAACTTGACAGGTTGAAAAAATTCAAGTCAATGTTAGAGCATCTTTTACATTTCTTAACATTTTCCAAAGCCAATATAGTACCAGCTTACAAGGATAAGTTGAGTTCGTATGAGAAACAGATAATAAATCTTATAAATACCAATAGGCCAAGAAAACCTGTCTCAGCAATGCAGCAAGGACAGCTTCCTCCACCTCATATGCATTCCATGCAGCAGCCTCAACCTCAAATTAATCAAACACAATCTCATGAGAACCAAATGAACCTGCAGTTGCAGTCAATAAATTTACAAGGTTCTATGCCAACAATGCAGCCGAACAACATGACAAGCATGCAGCATAATTCCTTGTCTACTTTACCTGGGGCTTCTACAGCACAGCAGACCATGTTAAACTCACTGCAACCAGGTTCCAATTTGGATCCAGGACAAGGTAATGCTCTAGGCTCAATGCAGCAGGTTGCAACAGGACCTTTGCAACAGAATCCTGTGTGTACCTCTCAACAGGCAAATATTAGTAATTTGTCATCACAAAGTGGGTTAAGTGTCCTGCAGCAGAACATGAATCCTCTCCAATCAAATTCCAGCATGCTTCAGAACCAGCATATGAAACAACAGCAGGAACATCAAATTTTGCAGTCACAAAAGTACAAACAACAGTTACAACAGCGGCAGATGCAGCAACAATATCTGCAGCAGAAGCATCAGCTAATGCAACAGCAGCAGTTGCACCAACAAGCAAAGCCACAGCTGCCCACTCAATTGCAGTCACACCAGATGCCACAGCTGCATCAGATGAATGATGCAAATGATATGAGGCAGGGGATCAGTGTTAAGCCAGGGGTTTTCCAACAGCACCTCCCAGCAGGCCAGCGTCAACCTTATAACCATCAACAGTTGAAACCAGGTGCTCAATATCCTATTTCTTCACCTCAGCTCCTTCAAGCTGCATCTCCTCAGATGTCTCAGCATTCTTCCCCACAGATTGATCAGCAGAGCCTGGTAACATCCATCTCAAAAACTGGAACCCCTTTACAATCTGGAAACTCACCTTTTGTTGTTCCTTCACCTTCAACTCCCTTGGCTCCATCACCTATGCCTGGGGAATCCGAAAAACCGGTTCCAGGCACTTATTCTCTCTCAAATGCTGTAAATGTTGGACTTCAACAAGGAACTGGTGTTCAAACGGGCTCTCAATCCCTTGCAATTGGCACTCCAGGGATATCAGCTTCACCTCTACTTGCGGAGTTCACAGGTGCCGATGGAACACGCGTTAATGCTTTGACAGCTGTTTCTAGCAAGTCAAGCATTACAGAGCAGCCTCTTGAACGTTTAATGAAGGCGGTTAGTGAAGCTCAGTTGACACTTCATCCTTCTCTTTTGTGCTTAGTATTTTTCCCTTTCCAAAATTTTCATCTTTTAAAGATATTGCATTTATTTGATTTTTACTACATTATAATTTCAGGTGAAATCCATGTCACCTTCTGCTCTGTGTGCTTCTGTAAGTGATATTGGATCAGTTGTCAGCATGACTGACAGGATAGCAGGGTCTGCACCAGGTAATGGGTCTAGAGCTGCAGTTGGTGAGGATCTGGTTGCTATGACGAAGTGTCGCCTACAAGCAAGAAATTTCTTCACTCAAGATGGAATGAGTGGGACGAAGAAAATGAAGCGCAACACTAGTGCCATGCCGCTAAATGCGGTATCTTCTGTAGTCAGCATAAATGATAGTTTCAAACAGTTAACTGGTTCAGAGACATCCGACTTGGAGTCAACAGCAACATCTACTGTCAAGAGGTCAAGAATTGAGGTACTATGTACTATATATGTATGCTGTATTGAATATCCATCTTTTCTCTTGGAATGTTTCGAAGTTATGTTCTGTTGTCTGTTTAAAAAAGTGTTACCTCTTTGTTTATATTTTATCAACTATTACCTTTGGATTAGAAGCTATTAAATTTGGATTAGAAGCTATTAAATTATTAAATATCAATTTGATGAAAATCTTTGAAGTTTAATTTCAATAACCTTAAAGTCAAGTTTGTGATGCTTAGTTACTATATACTATACATGTATGGTGTATTAAATTTCCATCTGTTCACATTGGAATGTTTCAAAGTAATGCTCTATTGTTTGTTTGAAACGTGCTACCTCTTACTTTGTTCATGTTTTCTCAAATATTTTCTCAATTTGATAAACATCTTGAAAATTTAATTTCAATAACCTTAAAGTCTAGTTTGTTAAACTCTGTGCTGGTAAAAAGCAAGTATTCTATTTGAAATGAAAGAGGTTGTTGAACTTTATTGCTGCTGATATGCAATTATTTTGCAAAGTACTTGTATCAGATCCATCATGTATTTACTATTTTACTTTCTTGGCTCATTTCACTTGTTAACAATTATTGCGAGCTCTATTTAAAAAGAAAGAAGTTGAACTTTGTTGCTGTTGACATGCAGAATTTTTTTTTTTTTTTGCAAAGCACTTTTATCAGATCCGTCATGTATTTACTTTGTTGCATCATTTCACTTATTAGCTCAATTGGCTCATTTCACTTGCACATTTCATGCTTGTTGACTATTATGTGTACCATTACATTTCCGGTTTTTATAGCGTCCTGCTTTGTTTAAATCCTTCATTGCACCTGGGAAATGAAACCTTAACTTGAGGAAACAATTATTGACTCATGCATGAGAATAGGTCAATAGTGTCAATGCTGATCTTGAGCAGGAAAACATTGATTCTGTTCTTAAGGAATGAGTTTATTCGAGGTGAACGTTGTTGAAATTTAAGGAGATTGTTCACTGATTCTATAAGAAAAAGATGTACCTATTATTGTAAATGCTTTAACAAATGTTAGTTGCAAATGAGTTTGCATACATGAATCCTAATTATTTGGCACGAGTCATAGTTGTCTTTATTACATATAAGCATTTGATGAAGGTGTGGATAAAATGCAAAAACATAGGTAAAGTAAAAGATTTGTTGACCTTTTATTACTTTCTGGAATCATGTGGTTCTCAGGTATTATTTCCTTTTTCCCTTCTGTGTCCTCTATTCTGTTTATAGGCTAGGTGTACCCTTAACACCATCTTTCCTTTCTTGGACTGTGTGTAATTCCTATAAGCATCAATTATCAAACATAGTTAATAAGCTTCAAATTTTGGTTTGTGAAGCCTGTAATGAATCTAACAGTCTCATTTGTAATTCTTGAACCTTATCAGCTAAATTCCAAGGTGCAGTTTGACCTTTGTTTTATAATATCTGAAGTGATTGAAAATTAAAGCTATGATTTCTATCAAGAATCCACTAAATTTCCACAGGGGTGAACTGAATATAGGCAATAAAATTTTTTCCGACTGCTGTTATAGTATACTTTTGATGTTTTGTGACTGTGTCGAATAGAACCCTGGCATTGTTGGTTTTCACATTTAGCAATTGATGTATAATTGGGTACTTTCTAAGTTAGCAATGTGCGGTTGGCTTTATGCTGTTAGAAATATAAAATTTTATGGGACCTATTACAGGCTAATCATGCCCTTTTGGAAGAAATAAGGGAAATAAATCAACAACTTATAGACACAGTGGTTGATACCAGTGATGAAGATGTTGATTCTGGTGCAGTAGCAGCAACTGCTGAAGGGGGTTCAGGAACAATTGTCAAGTGCTCTTTCAGTGCTGTGGCTCTCAGTTCAAACTTGAAATCAATGTACATGTCAGCGCAAATGGTAAATTTCAGACCATGGAAAGAAATTGATGTATTAGTGATAAGTACTATGATCTCTTTGCATGATCTGTTCTTTGTTACTATGCAGTCACCAATTCAGCCCTTGCGTTTGCTTGTCCCCACAAATTATCCAAATTGTTCCCCAATCCTATTGGACAAGTTTCCAGTTGAAGCCAGGTAAGTAAACATTGCATTTGAATCCCAACCGTCACTTTCTATTCTTCATCTTAGATCGGCATTCTTTTTGGCAGATTATTAGCATTTGGCTTAGGGTTATGTTCCTTCAATAATTTTTGGTCACATATTTCTGTTTGACAGTAAGGAGCATGAAGACCTTTCCGTAAAAGCAAAGTCTAGGTTTAGCATTTCGTTGCGAACCCTTTCACAGCCTATGTCACTAGGTGAGATTGCAAGGACTTGGGATGCTTGTGCCAGAGCCGTAATTTCTGAGCATGCACAACAGAGCGGTGGAGGCAGCTTTAGCTCAAAATATGGGACTTGGGAGAACTGCTCAATGGCTGCATAGACATCTTTACCATCTCAAATCAAAGTGTAAATTGGCGATAACTTGCGACAATTGCTTTCCTCAGGAGCGAATAAGCAGTTTGAGGATGCATATCTTGATAATCAAGTCCACTCATGGAAGCAGCCTCTGCTGATGTTTTGTGTCAACTTGATAAAACTCCCGAGGTTTGCTTCAGTAAATTATGCCAATATATAATTATTATTGTTTCTTGCAAGGGTCTAAACATGCAACATTTTGGTCAACTGTGCTACCACTTCCTGTTTTATGAATTGTGTTTTGTGTATTTGTAGTATTTCTAGGCTTCTCGTGCTTTTCTGGAATTGTGCTGTAAATTCTGTCTTCAATCTGTCAGGTCGGTTTTGATGATCAAAGCAAAATTCTAGTTATGATTAATTACCAATAAGAGATTTGTTGTAATCTTTGGCAATACTGTAACTAATGCGGAGTTATTCGGAAACATCTTTATTAAAAAAAAAAAAACCAGAGATATCAAATTAAAATAAAGAAAGAATGAAACAAGCATTTCCTTGTTGATTTTTAGGCTTATTTATTCTATTACAAGTTTGGGTCTTAAGTAAACATAGTGGTTCCATGGGTTGGGTCAAAGCCTTAGATTTAAATGTAATTAAGCATTTCTTCAAAAAGAAAAAAACAATGAACATATGGTGATACCGAGATCGTACCAGTCTTGGCAAGAGTACTCGAAAACAACCTCCTCCTTAGGGCAGTAAACGAGTGAGTTTGAGTATTACTGAACTCGATTCGAAAACTCTAAAAAGAAGTTTGACTTGGTGTTGAAATTGTTTTTCTTTAAAAAACATCGCAAATTTAATTTTTAATTAGGTGTGTTTTTAAAAAATCTTGTCTTGATTAATTTGGTATTTCCTTTTAAAGCAAAAAAAAAATCTATTCGAGGAGTTGCCGTCAATCTTTGATAGGGTGTGATTGGGCACCCAAAATGTTGTCATTTTAATAAGATTTAATTTTAAAAATTATTAAAACAACGTTTTAAGGTTTGTGTACTAAAAAATTGAGTTTGGGAGTCAATTACGCGTGGGGAAGGATTAATACCTCCACAACGCCCTAAATCGGTACCTAATCGATTAATTAATTGTCTTTGCAATGAAATCTACAAGTTCGAGTTTAATTTAATTCAATATTCCTTCAAATAATATTCTTTGAATTTTAGGACGAAAAAACAATATTTAATTATTTTCTATCGAGAAGAAATGACATCTCATGCCTTAAAGCAGTCAATCCTTACTCCAATTTAAATAAAGAAATATTACAACTCCATTCTAAAATTCATTATTGATTTAAATGCACAAATGATAATAAAATAAAGTAAATTAAATTAGAAATTACCAATCCTATTAAAAAGAAGAAGGATATTCGATTATTTAAAGATGTCGAGATCAGACATTTTATAAGTTATAACAATATTTTTTCGAAGAATTTAAATAGATGAACATCTCTTTTTCTTGTTCCTAAATTTCAGGTGCGGTCAAATTTTAAGGTTTCACTTAATAGGATACACTTTCATTTTAAAATTGTCGAAAGTAACTTTCTCATACGTTAACAACCACTCTACGACGACCTTAAGATGAAAGGGTATTACCCTTAGTCCAATTATTTGGATCAAGTCGAGTGATGTTTATGAGAGTGTCATACATAACATGCAACAATGACATCTATTAGAAAGATGGCATAAAACATAGATCTACATATCAAGGCAAATGCAAATATATATATATATATATATATATGAACTTAGGGAAATGTCGAGGATTAATAATATTTGAACTTAATTAAGAAAATATATTCTATAATCTTGTTAGAGTAACATATAATAAATATCTATAATACTAAGTTATGAGATAATTCATCATATTTTAAAAGAAATGCCTAATTCATCATATTTTAAAAAAAAATGAAAAGAAAATATATATATAAAAAAGAAAGCTAGAACAATTAAAATAAGTATACACATGCGCACGTATTTAGATAATTTGGGCACAAACAAACTCATGCATAGATGCATTCATATATACGTATATATAAAATAGACCATATTATATACACCATGCACACATGCACAAATATATATATATATATATATATATATATATATATATATATATATATATATATGTATGTATGTGCGCGCGTATGTATATTTTAATAGATTTAAATACAAATAACGCATTCAAGAGGGGATCAAACATGGGGATATTGAAGATTAAAAGGGTTTGACAAACTTGTGACCCAAAATTAGGAAAAATAGCAAGATCAAGGACCTAATTGGCAAATTAAACAAATAGAGGTCATAAAACGCAAAAAACATACATTCCAGGCACTAAAATCGCAATAAACCCAGGAACATGCATTAGACTGAAATGAAAAGCATGAAAATGTTATGCCAAATGTATAAAGCAGCGAAAACTTAAAATTACATAACACAGGACCAAAGTGCAACACGCATAGAACTTGATGGCAAGATCATAAATTTTAAAAGTCACGAAACATGGACCAAAATTCATTAAAACAAAAAATGAAGGGGTTTACAAAGCAAATAACCCATCCCAAAGCGTTGAAACGGTACCTCGTACCCTAAATGAAACGACATCGTTTTGGCGCTTGAATAAATATAACAATTTAGGCAAAAAATATAACCCTAGCCCATTTACCACCTTTTTCTTTTCCTAGCCAAAACCACCCCTGGAAACCCAAAGAATCGACCACCTCCAGCTCTTAAATCACTCAACCAAGGCTAGGGAAACGAAGGGTTTACCTTCGACTCAACGACGTCCGAATCCCAGGGGACGACGACGATTCTTTTCAGACAAGAAAGGCGATATTCTTATTTTTTATGCCTATCCCTTTTTTTGATGACTTGGTTGCTCGATCATACAAAAGACTATCTTTTTTCGTTCTTTTTGGTTGCTTTTGACTGGTTATGTTAGCTCTTCAGAGGGAGATTCCCCCTCTTGTTTTTGTTCTTGGTTTATTTTCTCGGTTCCTCTCATTTTTTTGGTTATCCCCCCCTCTTTTTGGCTGCTACGTTGTATATATGATCTTTGTTGGGTTTTCCTCCTTTTGTTACTGCTCATCACCCCCAAAAAAGAGAGAGAGAACTGATATTTTTATTATCTTTTTAACATTCCTTTTTTTGCATGTATGAGTTTGATCGCATGTAAATGTATGTGTTGTGGCACGTAAATCTGTGCAAGTATACACAATCGATGCAAGTAATATAGTGGTGAGTGAGTTATCGTCTCCACATGTATTTGTGGGAATTCTTGATGTTTGCTACAACTAGAACCAAGTGTCATTAATATAGTAGTGAGCATTATCAAATGATATGAACATATGGAAAAAGTATTGTCGAAGCGAGAAAAATTATAAAGTGAAGTGAGCATAAAAATTTGATCGAGGCAATAAAAATATGCAAAGGTAAACTAATAAAAGTTGTCAAGGCAAATAAAAATGTTGAGTTTAATATATTCTGAAAAAACCTCACACAATCAGACTTCTTAACGGAGCACTTGGGTTGAATTTGCTATGGCGAGAAATTATTCTATGTCTAGGATGATTTAGTGTGCTATGCCTATGATGCCTGACAGGATTTACTAGAGTGTTCCTAGAACTTTTGCTACGGTAATACTACTCAGCTTGAACTACAACCATTGGTTTGTCAAACTATTGTTACGGCAATACCCCTCAGCGTAAACTGTAGCTTTTAGCCTATCTTACTCAAGCATTTACCTTTTTTAGTCGAACGAAACCCTCTCCTTATCTCTAAGGCAGATTAGAACCTCACCATCCCGAATTAGTTCCCTTGTTCACGTAGATCAAACCTAACTCTCTCGATATTAGGTATCAACTCCTAAAAAAATGGCAATCTCTCAAAAGCTCTTACGAAGACTAGGAATGTTTTGTCGTGGAACCAGACAATCTCTTAAAAGCTCATACAGTGTCAAGGAAAAAGTTTAAAATAGTGAACAAAACAACACTTAGCATAAACAAACTTCATCATTCATTAACAATCAAAATAAAGTATCATCCAAGCATCATCCAACATCAAATAAAATAGTTTATGGTGTGGTAAATATCATCCCAAAATTAATCTTTAAGTACAAACCCTTAAATGATATGGAAATTAAGAATAAAAGGATGAAAAACTCCCAAAACAGAGCTCTGCCGTGATATTCAGACCACCACCATGACTGCTCCATCGGCAAACCTCTCTCGAGGGCCTGGACGTCGCTCCGACGACGCCCAGTTATGGATGGCACCAAGGACGGTCGAGTGGGAACGATAGAAAAAGTGAACTGCTATAGCCACTTACTCCAAGCCTCTTTTTCAGGGTATATTCGTATCTTCTCTATGAAGAGATATAATGGGGTATTTATAGTGGGAATTTCTAGGGTTTAGTTCCCTTAGAAATTCCCTAAATACCCTCGGTCTCATACCCATTGTGTGAAAAAAACAACAGCTGACAGTGGTCTCAAATTCCTTGATGAGTGTATGATTGCACGTGAGGTAGATTGGACAGTTGGCCAAGTGACGACAGTAGTTTCGTCTAATGCTACGTCAGTCTTGCAAGATAAAACTAGCCTTGGTAAGAAAATTTGTTCCTCACTGTCATATTCTTATGTTCTACAGGCCCTAGCAAATTAATTTGTCTCGGTAAATGAATTCTTCCTTAGTCATTTCATGCATCAGCACAACCAACAAACAACCTTTCTCCTCAGCAGCATCAGATTATTTAAATAAACTTTGCCTTGGTAAAACTTATCCACCACATGCAAATATGTCATAAATGCAGCTAAAGTGCTAAATCAATGGCTTTTAGACACTCAATAACTTAAGTAGAAAGACACAAAACATAGTATTTTTATGGAGTTATCACACCCCAAACTTAAGCCATTGCTTGTCCTCAAGCAATGGATAATAAGCAGTAGAAAAATAAAGTGTCGCGGCAAAGTATAAATTAGGACAATCAGGTGGCTTAAAATTTCAACCCACAACAATAAGTTTGGCCTCAACATGCTAGACAAAATAAGAAGTCAAGTACCCTTCCGTAGGTCAAGACTCTTTGACAGTGTGTATGCATGATTGTATCTAGTCTATGCTTAACGAAATTAAAAAAACTCCTAAATATGTTCTTCTATTTTACCAAGGCATCAAATTATTCATTAAGCACAGTTTCACTCATGTTTATTCAACACGTAACTTCAATTTTTTTAACGTTGCTTCAAGGGGAGTCAACTCATCACACCTACCGTCCCCACTCTAGGTGAAAAGGATCATACTTTCCACCCCGAGCTAGTTAGGTAGAGTTATCCTGTGACTGGTTTCCTTCACTCATGTGCCTAGGCAACCATTTATTTAAGGGAATTTCTTGGTCATGTCGTCGCACAGAGGAGTGTCCCTCTACAGTTTGCAAAA